GACTAAGAGCAGTTGGAGGCGAGTTGAACGCGAGACGTCGTGCAGCCATTGTTCACGTAACAACAAAATACAAACACGGTAAATGGAGATGAAGTTCTTCTAAGTGTAGTAACACAAACATGTCTGCTAATATGCTGGTCTCGCGAGAAGTCGTAGTGCACAAAAGCTCACACGTGATTGGACGATGGGGCCGAAGGCTCATCAGGCTCCTCCAATCACATACGACGTCATTGTTATACGGAAGGACTCGCGAGAAGAGCTCGCGTCGCTCCATTCTGGAAGGTGGCGGTAATGCACCTATAAATTGTTTGCAATTGCAATTGTTTGTCTCCATAAGATTGAATTTGAGCAGGTGGACATTAGAGATAATAAATGCAACAACAAGTTTTTGAATCAATATTCTATAAATAATATGTACCCAGGAAGAACAAAAAGCACAGCTCTCTAACAAAATTTTAAGAAATCTATGATAGTCAAAATTAGGACAAATTATTTGAAATTCCCAATTCCTCCTAAATATAAAGAATTACAATTTAAAATAATAAATAACATATATCCTTCAAATGAGTTTTTAAGAGAGAGATTTAAGTTTAATGTTGAGAATTGTGGCTTTTGTACAACTCAATTGGAAACAACTAAACATCTTTTTTATGAATGTAAAGAAGTATTAAACTTATGGGATCAACTTCGAACCTTTCTGTCTTCTAAAACAATAAATTTAGATTTTATTTCCTGGCAAAACATTCAATTCGGTTTATCCATTAAAGAAAAAAAAATTGGAATTTTTAATCAATATTCTAATAATTGTAACAAAGTATTATATCCATAAATGTCGCTATGCAAAATGCTCCCTCTCAATCTCTGCTCTCAAAAATGAACTTTCCCTTTTCAAAAGATGTCTGAGAAAGATGCAGAATTTAAATGCAATTAAATTGTTTGAGTTAATTGAAGAATTTCAGTTGGTAGTCCCCACTGATTAATTTACTTTAAACCCTATTATTATTTTATTTATTTTTATTTATTTTATTTTATACTTTGTTCCAGCCTGTGCATTTAATTTTATTTTTCAAAAGCAGGAGTTGTGATATTTCTTCTTGTATTGCAATATTTGTTATTGACTTGTTGTTTGAGATTGTTATTGTTTTCTTATATATTCAATAACAAAAAAAAAAAAAAAGTGGAAATCTAAAAAAAAAAATTAACCATTACAGCCAACTGATTCTGATTAAAACTAATTTTTGAAGTAAATTATTTTGTGTATTTTCTTTTACATAAAATTTGCATACACAGTAATCTAGCGTACTTTAATTAAATAAATCAATTCAAGCTAAAATGTAAGAGTCTATAATTAGGCTATACTGGGCCTGATCTATTTCTACCATCTATTTGGGGGATATTTATTGCCACACTTTGGGCCACTTAAAACCAATTTAGCATGCTGACCTATGACCTTATGACCACAGTGTACCAATCTTCTGATGGCTACGTCCAACAGGATAATGCGCCATGTTATAAAGTGAATCATCTCAGAATCATTTCTTGAAACTTTTCCACTTAAGTAATTGTGAATTGAGCATATTGACAGACAACATTTTATTTTTTATCTTAAATGCAAATTTAAAAAAAAATTATTACTGCTCTAAATGTATTGCTCTGTCAGCTAAAGATCTGTTTTGGTCTCTATACTTTAATTAAATAAATCAATTCAAGCTAAAATGTAAGAGGCTATACCTGATCTCTTTGTATCAGAGATTTTCTTACCCAGGGTTGCAGGGGGGGTAAAACCCCCCCTGCAACCCTGGTTTGCATTTGTATAGCTCACAGCATGTTCATTTACATGTTAAAGCCTCCCCTAGAATTCCATGGGGGGGAGGCATGGGGGGAACACTGCCTAAGAAATTCCACGTCAATTTCTGACAATTTACGGGAGTTTACGGCAAGGCCTGCAAATTGCCTGAAGTTCCACGACAATCTACAGTGCCGTATATTGACGAAAATCCCACTTTTCATGCAGTGTGGGTATTTGTTCTTTATTGTGATCTGGTTCAAACCTCGGTAATCAATACATGGTCTCAGGGAGCCATCTTTCTTTCCAACGAAGAAAAACCCAGCGCCCAAAGGAGAGGAAGATGGGCGGATTATTCCTGCAGCTAATGATTCATTTATGTATTTTTCCATGGTTTCTCTTTCAGGCTTGGAAATGTTATACAACCTGCTGCTAGGTAGTGGTGCACCAGGTAAAAGTTCAATGGCGCAGTCATATGGTCTGTGTGGAGGTAGGGACGTCGCACTGACCTTACTGAAGACGGGAGCTAGGTCATGGTACTCGGAAGGAACAGAAGAAAGGTCAGGAGAGTCCATTTCCCCCCCACCTCTAGGAGACCCCACCAAGGGGGCAGCCGAACGGAGGCATGTCTCATGGCATGAAATGGACCATGATTCCAGGTGAAGTTCTGTCCAATTAATGTGAGGATTATGCTTCTCCAACCACTCGAAGCCAAGCACCAGAGGGGAGCATGCAGAAGGAAAAACAAAAAATGTTATTGTCTCTCGGTGGTTACCTGACAGAAGTAGCTCGAGGGGCTGAGTTTGATGGGTTACTTGGTGAAGTCTCTTTCCGTCAATAGCAGAAACACTAAGAGGTTGAGACAGAGGAATGGTTTCAATTTGGAGTTGTTGGACGAGGTTTGAATCGATTAAGTTCCGTTCACAGCCTGAATCGATGAATGCAGAAAAGGAGAGGCTTTGGTTAGAACAAAACAACGTGGAGGGAAGCAACAATCGAGGAGATTTCTTAGTGTTAATTTGGCCCGCCAGACTCCTCAGATCCTCTGGCGGGCCCAGGCTTTTGATTTAGCCGGGCAGGAAGCGATGAAGTGTCCACTCTCACCACAGTAAATGCATAATTTGCTTAGAAAACGTCTTTGTCTCTCCTCTGGGGTGAGCCTCGTGTGTCCCACCTGCATGGGTTCAACATCTCTTTCGCCCGAATGAGAGGCCTGAATAGGCAGCGGTAGAGACTGGGACTTAGGTCTCTGTATGGGCAGCTGCTCTGTAGAGGAAGAACAAACAGTTACGTTATGTGAGGCAGAAGAAAGTGTCCCCTGCTTTTTAGTACTGTTTCTGGCACGGATTCTATTGTCCAATCTGATCGTGAGACGAATTAAATCTCCGAGGGTAGCTGGTTCGTCGAGGGTTGCAAGCTCATCTTTAATGTGCTCATTTAAAGCCATGAAATAGGCTCCCTTCAGAGCGCTTTGGTTCCATCCGGAAGCTGCCGCTTTAACCCGGAAGTTGATGGAGAATTCAGCCACAGAAGAATTTCCCTGTTTTAGATTGAAAAGAGCTCGAGAGTCAATGGTTTGATCAGTCTCTTGGTTGAAAACCTGAGTAAATTCAGAGAGGAAATCAGAGTAATAGCAGTTAAGGCTATCGTCGGTGGCAAATCTTGCCTGAGCCCACTCCAAGGCTCTTCCTGTTAGCTGAGAAAGGATGAAGGTTATCTTTTTGTAATCCGTGGAAAAGCTGCCTGGAGAGTTCTGAAAAATCAAACGACACTGAAATAAAAATCCTTTGCAATCTTTCATGTTACCAGAAAACTTTTCTGGAAGACTTGGGCGGAACTCGGATGACGTCACTGCTGGTGACCTCGGAGGTGGAACTGGACCCGGAAATGGTTGTGGTGCAGCATTAGCGCTGTTCAAATAGTTAGCATAACTCTGTAGCATATGGTTATGTCTATCAACCAGGCGGTATAACTCACGGAGCGTTTGGGTTTGTCCTTGAATTTGGGCATCCTGCTCCTCCAATCGACGGGTGAGGTGATCTGCTGGGCCTTGAGTTTGGCCGCAGTGTTCTGTCATGATGGGTTCTCAAAGAGCGACCCAAGTATGCAGAACACCACTGATGGACACAGGAATAAAAGTTCAACAAGTTTATTTTGCTACAAGCACACAGAATGTACTGGTTCTGGCTCGGGCCTGGACACTGGTTCACCGGAGTCTGCGTGGGAGACAGTTCAGTTAGCGTTGCAAGTTGGAACTTGATTTCTTGAAGATAACAGATTGTACCTTGAGGGTTCTTGAGGTTAGCTTTGGGAGAGTCACTGTTGGATCTGGAGAGGAGTTGATCAGCAGAGTCCGCTTGCTGCTTCAGCGTCTCACGTCTAATAAAGAACAGACCTTGGCTTAGGGTTTTCCAGCTCTTAGTCCTGAGCTGCACGAGGTTCTCTAAGAATCTTCGGGTTTGGCTCTGAGGGTCGGCTCGGCAGGTTAGCTCTTCCAGAGCTTCACAGAGGAGACACTGGTTTCCTGGAAGACAGAGACAACGGTTAGAATCCAGGCTGGATTCAAAGTCACAAAGTTACACTGAGAGTCTAGGCTTAGGCCCTGACCAACTGGATCAACACTGCGGCGTTGAGGCAAGGTCTGAAGACAGCTTATGTAGTAAATCCTCTGATGATCTTGATGGGCTGCAGCTGTGCAGGAGGCTCACTCAGAAGGATCCACGGCGGACTCTGCTGGAGAAAGGTGGAACTTCTCCAGCTCCCAACAGTATCGACTCATTGACTCAAGCAATCCATCACACCAAGCATGCTTGCAGTGACAGTGGAGAGGAAACCTCCCTTTTTGACAGGAAGGACTTTTTAAAGACTTCCAAAAATTTGAAAAATGCTCATTCATCAACAAAGTGTTTTGATTTTACCTGAAATGTGAAATATGAGCAAAATGTATAACAATAATATTGTCTCATAATGACAATAAGGATTTTTTAATTTTTGAATCTTACAAGATTAATTTGGCTCAGCAGCAAATCTTCACTGAAAGAGTCTCAAATTATTTTTATCTTTATAAAAATTAAGCTCTCTACATTAAATTCACTGTAATTGAACGCGGCTGGAGGCACGTCGCTTGAAAAGCAGAGAACACTCCAACTCCCAGCATCCTTTGCGGGCGCGTCCTCCTGACGCGCACGCTCACAGAGGCAGGGAAGGACTCCGCTCAGTGTTTACGTTGAGATGCTCACAACAAAGGACAGCGCAACACGGACAGGCTGCTCTCTAACATAACGCACCGGGGCTACAAATACCTTTAAAGCTTCACTTATTTCACTGCTGGGAAAAAAAAAAGGAAAACAGATTAAAAAAATCCTCGTTTTCCTCCGCTATTTCTATTACGTGGTTTAATATCTGATTTACGAGCTCAGAAGCGGAACAATTAATGTGACATTTCCTTCTGAGCACCAAGACATTGAGAGAGGACTTCATCATCTGTATCGCAGTAAGTCCGCTGATTTATCCTGCTAAATATAAAAGACGCATGGGTGTGAGAGCGAGCAGTTTATTCCTCTGTGTTTTCTGAGCGTCACCTGCTTTGTCCAGCCAGCCTCTTACCTCATTTGGTAATGTCCTATCACTCTGCTGGGAAGTCATCAGGCAGGGCTGCAGCTGCAAAGCGCTCGCCTCTTCCAAGTGTTTTCTACACAGAAACACATGCTTGAACCTGCACCTGCCTCCATCTGTGTTCTTATATTAAGCTTTTTCCTTGAATGTCTCATTGCCTGGGTTTACACCATGAGAAATCTCTGATCAGTCTGCAGGGATTAGATCCTTCAATCTGTCCTAGTTTGAACTGATGGTGTGTAGAGTTTTTAAGCTTTTATCATAAAGAAAATTTTAATAATAATTTATTATTTTTTAAAGAATAAGGTTCCCTGATTTGCTATTTAGTTGCTAATATACAGAGGCATAGCAAAAAAATAAAATAAAATTATAAGGGTGGCCAGGCAATAACCAATGTATCCTAAGGGGTGGCCAAAAGTGTATAGTCACCAGAACCTTAGTGTCAATCTACAGTGTTCCAACAGGAACAAGCATAACATCCATATTTCCTAAATAAGGACAAACTATAGTTTCCTGTAGCCTTTGCTAACAAATAGATGCATATATTTAAACATCCGTCTAGATAAAAGCTATATGGATAAAATTCTTTGAGGTTTGAGTTCTGGAGCGAACATTTTTTCCATCGTCATTACTTACCTACTTTTATCAATATCATTCTACATTAAATTGATATTTAAAAGTACTAATATCTACATAAATTGATAATTCAATATTTTTTTTGTTAAAATAGTTATTTACAGTATCTATTATTTCACTGAAGACACTTAAATGACTTGAAGAGACACATTATTTTCTCTTTACGGCATATAAAGCAAAATCTAGTTCTGAAAGAGCATGAATTCTGTACTAATTATCTCTAATGTTGGTATATTGATGTACATAATTAACCAGTAATTGTTAATATACCGTATATAAAATTGAAATGTTTTGAATATTCTATTTGAGAGAAAAAAATGGTAGGGCCATGGCCGACCCTGGCCCCCCATCTAGCTCCGCCTCTGCTAATATGGTATTACCATTTTGCAATACTGATTTCCTGTAGACTAATTAGGAAGGAAAAGTAAAGTGTCAGTAGGTTTTTAATGCATGCTAAGAATGTATGACTAAGGAGATGGAGATCTTGCATAACACATCTTATACATGTTGCATTAAACAAAGGACATTTTCAGCAAAGCTTAGGATGCAAAATCTGCACAGGGATTTCTGTTTTGTTCCTTTTAAAAATGGAGGAAGGATGCATTAATTGAGTAGAACTTTGCAGAAGTTAGGATTTTATCCAATGGGAATTTTAGTGTAAAGGGCTTAGGTCTGTCAGCTCTGTTGCACATTTTTTGGAGGGTGTGTTTCCTGCATGTCGGTGTGTGTGTGGATCTCAGTCTGGAGAGTCTCGGTTTCAGTGAGGAAACTCGAGTCGGTGGTGTCATGCAGGGGTTCAGAGAGAAAAAGAGACGCTTGGATGTCCTAATGGAGGCTTAATGCTGCCCTGTATGCATAGTAAGCCAGTTTGTGGATCCATAGACCAGCCTTCTGTTCCCAACGGCTGCTGATCTGGCCACAAAATAAAGATTCTTGTTAATATCTGTAACTGAACTTGATATTAGAATCCCAGCATGTTCAACTCTTGACTTCGTAGGACTTTATGGGTTAAAATAACAAAGTAGCTTGTATAATCTGAGGTAACTGTTGATAAAAATGCATGCATAGGTATTTGAACTTTTTCACGAGTCAATAAATGGGAATAATATTAGGATTTTAGTTCTTTGTTGTCAACTCATAAATATGTGACATCAGATGTTTCATCTGTGAAAATACAAGTTTAAAAGTTAAACTTTGCAAAACTACAAGTTTTGCAAGCTGGGGCACTCCTTAACAGCTGGTTGTAGTAGTGCACCTATGCACCTTTTAACGAGAATAACAGAAAGAAGACAAAAACAGAGTTATCGATTGAACATTATGCTGTGTAGGCATTGAAAACAACCTCTCATTAAGAATACCTTGAATTGATAGGGACACTAAAGATACGGCAGAAGTGGGTCTGCAGTCGTCATAATAAGTCGTGTCCGAATAGTGACGGCAGTTTGGAAGGAGCTAGGATTTGGAAGCAGTGTGCTTCCTTGAGCTCATGCAGTTAGCATAGGGACCTCCTAACCTTCTTAGCCTTGCGTGACACATGATAATAGCTTATCCTATCTTACCAAGTTCAACAAAAATACATTATTTAAGGAAATGCATTCTGTGTGACACATGCAAATGTCCTCATCTTCATATATTCTGAGTTTCATAACGGAGAGATTCATCCATTTCCTACATTTTTACAACTTTTGTTTTTTCCTAGCAGCCTCTAATCCCACTTTTACCAGCATCATTCATTTGGGTGTCTGTTCTGTAATGATATCCACAAGGCTGGAGCTTGTTCAGAATCACCAAAACAGTCCATAACTTCATTTCCACCCTGGATAGGATTCTAACTGTTGACCGCAAGAAATGTGAAGAAACAGCAGCTAGAAACAGGAGCTATAAGCTGAGGTATATCATAATATAATTAGCCAATATTTCGGCAAAACTAAAACTCAGTTCGTCTTTTTCCATCTTCTCGCAAATAGCCTTCAGATGCATTACCGCCACCAACTGTAAGGAATGTAGCAGCTTCATCAGAAGTCGCTGAAGTAATCATACATTTGTAGTTTTGCAAAGATGTATTTTATTACTCCAGATGAAACATCTGCTGTAGGGATGCACGATATTGGGAGTTTTGCCGATATCCGATATGCCGATATTTGAAAACTCATGTAGCCGATAACCGATATCGATACCGATGTTAAAGCTGGACAAAAATAAGTAGTCATTGAAAATGGCAGTTTTGTTATCCATTTCTGACAATTTGAAAAATAATATACTCAAATATATTTTCATATGCTGATATCAAATTGATTTTTAAAACGCGATCTATTTTACTTTCAAAATCTCGTGAAATTTCATCGTTCTGTTACAAACTCTCGTGATATTTTGCAAATTCTTGTGAGATTTTGTTAGTAAAATAGATCGATACAGGGTCAATATATCAACATATAAAAATATGGCAAAATTTCGTGAATTTTCGGGGGATTTCGTAGCATAACGATGACATATAGCAATATTTCATTAGTAAAAGAGATTGATATGGTGTTTTTAAATGGCAATATATCAGCATATGAAGATATTGTGATATTTTAATGTATCAATATTTTTTCCCTCGTCTTTAGAAGTTTTTAAGTCTGTAAAAAAGAAGTTTTTGAGGAATAAGAAGAAGTAGTATTTTATTTTATTTTTTAGACTTTAGAAACTCAGAAGCTGATCAAATATCGGGTTAAATATCGGTGGGGTGGCCGATGTCCGATATTCAGTTTTAAGGCCGATACAGGGCGATACCGATAGGGGGCCGATTATATCGTGCATCCCTAATCTGCTGTTATATAAGTATGAGCTTACAACAAAGAAATAACACAAATCTTAATTTTATTCCTGTTCATTAACTTTTACATTAACAAACAGGATACATATTTATTATATATAAATACAAATTTATATCCATGGTGGCGCTCCAAGGCAGGGGCCAAGAGCAGCTCCTTTCGAAAAATTTCTCAAAATATGCCATTTAAAACGTCAAACCGACATCTATGCTTGAGCTACGTTCACAAAAGTTTTTAAATACTGACATTTCTGACTGTTTAAAAAGCTGCGGAGTGCTACGGACGGATGTGGACAAAACAACAGCGGAAAATAACTGACGGAGGAAGAGATGCGCAAGTCTGAGAAATTGAGGCTGCAGAGGGGGGCTAACTGCGAAGCTAAAGATAAATCCCCACAGACCGCCGCTTCCATCAGTGCTGCTCTCCAACGTCTGCTCATTGGAAAAGAAAATGGATAATCTCAGACTCGAGCTCACTTCAACAAAGGAGCTATCTAACTGCTGCGCCATCATTCTGACAGGGTTTTGGCTGCGTCCAGCAGTACCGGACGGTGCTGTAGGCCGGGGGGGGCTGATGCTGTACCGCGCTGATAGAAAACAAAGAGCTCTGCGTGAATGGAAACTTCTCTGAGACTGTTCCGGGGCAATTTTCAGCATCTAGGAAGGAAGCACAGCCCTCTGCAGGTGAAAATGAGGAGCTCGCTCCAGATGCTTCCCTGCCAAATGCTGAACCCTCCCCAGCCGGCTCCTTCCGGCTTCCACACCTTCTCCAGCATCGTCTATCGCTGCTAAACCTGCCGATGGCACCACTGCTGCTTCAACCACATCAGCCTCTTCAACCCAGGGGGCTACCACCCGCACAGCATCGTCATCATCGTCCTCTTCCTCCCCTGAGCAAGGAGAAGCGAGTGCTTCAGGAGCTGGAGGCAGTAGTAGCAGCTCAACAACAACTGCTGCTTACATTATCAAGGCTGCACTTTAAAAAAAGGAATTGTTCTAAACAAACTTTCTGTTTGTATACACTTGTGTATACAAAATAAATCTAAGTCTAAGTCTTAGTCATATTATTGGCACTTATCTTACCCCATACCTCTAAATGTGCTGCAAAGCTGGCGTAAGTTAACTGTGCAGCTTTTTATTCCTAAGTGCAGCTAAGAGGCACATTGTAATCTAGAAGAGCAGTATAAATGTACTGCTGAGGTGTTAGAGGTGCTTGGTAAGATTACTAGTAACCCTGCACTCCTAGTATCATTGCATGGAAGCTATATAACATCCTGTTTGAGGTTAGAAACCAGCAAACATGGGGAAGAAGGTTCTGTGATTAAATCTAAGCTTTTCTGCCTATCTGTAAAACTGCGTTTGGATATAAACTGATATGAAAGTGACACATGGTGGAGCTGGCATCATGGTTTGGGGATTCTTTCATTTAT